TGATATTTATAGGGGGATTAGGGGTGTAACTGCCCCCATAATCCATGCCTAAATGGGGGTTTAGTCGCCCCATTAATCGGGTGTAACAACCCACGTAAACCACTCCCCAAATCATGGGTGAAGAACAGCTTCGAAGTTGTCACGATTATATTTGAATAAGTCAGAACCTTGACTTGCATTCTGGCATAGATTTTGTGTTTGAACGTAGTATCTAGAAGTGCGTTCTGCAGCTGTTGGAGCTGCGTTCTTACAGCGGATGGAGCTGCGTTCTTGCAGCGGATGGAGCTGCGTTCTGCAGCGGTTGGAGCTACGTTCTGTAGCGGTTTGAGCTGCGTTCTGCAGCGGTTGGAGCTGCGTTCTTGCAGCGGATGGAGCTGCGTTCTTAACAGTGGTTGGAGCCTGCGTTCTGGCAGCGGTGGACGCTGCGTTCTTGCAGCGGTTGGGAGCCGGCGTTCTACAGCGGATAGATCTGCGTTCTGCAGCGGTAGAAGCTGCGTTCTGCAACGGTTGGAGCTGCGTTTTGCAGCGGATGGAGTTGGCGTTCTCTAGCATCCCCCACCCCCGCGGATGGAGCTGACATTCTGTAGGGGGATTGGAGCTGCGTTGCTTCGCAGCGGTATTGCGAGCCGCGTTCTTACAGCGGATAGAGCTACGTTCTGCAGCGGTTAGAGTTGTGTTCTGCAGCGGTTGGAGCTGTGTTCTTACAGCGGATAGAGTCGCGTTCTTGCAGCGGATAGAGCTGCGTTCTGTCCTCTCTGTCTTTATATATGGATAACACCAATGACACGTCGAGAAGGCCCTATTCAGGCCATTTGTGACACTTGAGGCATCCCAATAATGCTCTATCAACTGCAGGTCACGATAAGACTGTTCACGTAGTCTCTACCACTTTTATAAAATCATTACGCTGCTCATAAGCACCTCTGATAGTTGCTAATATAATATTAGTCATGTTATTGTCGCAGCCATCAAGATCAATCATCTCCAATATGGGGCTGTGTTGATAACTGAGGATGCCATGATCGTGTTGCTTTGACCTTTGGAACGTAGCCATTTGTGTTTTGACTGTAGGGATGAGTTCTACCTCTCGGTTTAAAGAAATCGTTGGCTTGTAATTTCTCCATGATCCATAGGGGCATCCTTCAATTACAGCTTTCCTTTGGTAATAAGAAAATCGTCTGATTGTAACCTTCTTAATTGTGGCTGGACGGGGACTAGCTTTCTATTGTGATTTTTTAGACAGCCTACAGCAGCAAAGGAGTTGCTATATGGTTGAAAACTTTTTTTCTTGAGCTTGGGGTAAGCTTTGAGAAATACTTCATCCATTGCAACAGTCAGAGTGTCATTCACTTGCCAGAGAATGACGCATTCCATGCTCGGACCAAGCATGTTGACGTGAAGCACTATGCCATACAGAGATGGCAAAGCAAGAATGAGTTTAAGCTAGTGAAGATTGATACGAGATATAATTCAGCCGATATGCTGACCAAGCTAATTTTGATCGAGAAGGTGAGGCTGTATACAGCCTCATATGGCCTCCGTTAAAAACATTGAGGGTCGTGTAAGATGTCAAAGATACAAAACATCCAGATAATGAAACCAAGAATAGTGTGAAGATATGATTGAGACTCAATCAAATCTTCAAGTGGGAGATTGTCAGCTAAAAACAGCCCACCACAGCCAAAAACAGCCCACCAAAGATACAGTCTTTGCAAACACCGACTTCCACAGAATCGATGTCGGTTAGCTTTCCTGTGAATGTAGGATTTTCATCCCCTTCTCGCTAATGTGTCCCAGCCTATTGTGCCATAGATCCGTACTTTCTTTGCCAGCTACAATTGCGAGGGTGTCACTCGCATGTGAAGTGAGGTAGAGAGCCCATGTTTTGTTGCCTCGGGCAACAATCATAGTGCCGTTGAAGATCCTCCACGAATCTTCGGTGAATGTCAAAACATAGCCTTCTGCTAGAAGCTGTCCCACTGAAACAAGATTCCTCTTCAGCTTCGATACGTGTCTCACGTTCTTCAAGTTCCACTTAGAGCTCTTCATCTGTATCTGAACGTCACCCTTTCCAACAATATTGCAAGACTCGTTGTCCCTCAAATATACTTTCCCAAAGTCCCATGCTTCATAATTCTGTAGAAGCTTCCTATTAACAGTGGCGTGAAAAGAGGCTCCTGAGTAGATGACCCAAGAATCAGAATCACTGTCCATAGCAAGGATCAAGGCATCATGCACGATATGAGCCTCCTGCTCATCCGTATCCTTCTTTGGCGCTTTGCAAACTGAAGACATATGGTCCTCCTGGCCATAGCTCCAACACTTCCCTTTGATGGTCCTAACTTTTGAGTTCGACCTCTTCTTTGTAGACTTCGACCGATTCCTATTTTGGTTCCCTTTCTTCTGGCTTGTGCCTCTCTGCTCAAAACTTAGAGCTGAACCTGAACCTTCTAATTCGGACGATTTCTTTCTAACCTCCTCGGATAGAATCATGCTCACAAACTCGTTCAGATTTAACTTGTCCTTCCCCGTCGAATTGCTAATTGCGGTCACACAACCTGCCCAACTATCCAGAAACTACGATAGTAATAGTAGGGCATGCACTTTGTCATCAAACGTGATGTCTGCGGAGATAAGCTGATCAACAATCGTGTTGAACTCGCTGACCTACATCGTGAAGGACCGTTCTTCTGCCATCTTGAGATTGAAGAGGGTTTTGACGAGATGCACCTTGTTTGCGGCAAGCGGATACTCGTACATCTTCGTGAGCACTTCCATAAGCCTCATCGTCGTCTTCTCCTTCAAAATATTATGGGTAACAGTCTTGGCGAGCGACAACCGAATTTGTCCTAAAGCCTTCCTATCCAATATCTCTCAATCCTCGTCTGACTCCTCTTTCTTCTTTCCCTTAGCCCTGCCTATCAGTGGACGATACAAGTCTTTTTGGTACAGATAGTCCTCCATCTGTGATTTTCAGTAGGCGAAGTCTGAACCTTCAAATTTCTCGATCTTTGATTTGCTTTCTTCTGCCATGGCTTTCCTCACAAATTGCTATACGAAGCTTTGATACTAGTTGATGGGGGCTCGGAACAATCAAATCGAACCTGTACCCTTCCGGATCTTGTGTTTGAAAAGTAGGCAAGCAAGAAATCACCGCAAATAAAGATCAAAACTTGTAGGAAATAAAGAACAAAAGAGAACACACGAATTTAACGAGGTTCGGCAACGTGCCTACGTCCTCGGGAGCCACACCACACAAATTTTTTTTGATTAACTGAAGAAGATTACAAGCTCACAAACTAGGGTTTTATCCCTCTGAGATCTCTCTCTTTTTCAGCCGTCAAAAACTCTCTTTTTTGTGTTACAATAAGCCCTAAAATCCTTTAAGTATATATAGAGTCCTGAAAGAAAACAAAATCCAAAATAAATTAGGAAACTGCCAGATCACGTCGCGGTCGACCGCACAGAACGTCGATTCTGCAGTCTGCAGCATGCACGTTCGCAGTCGACCGCCGCGTCTCCCGCGGTCGATTGCACAGAAACCCTGATTCTGCTCGTTTTCCTGCAGGGCTCGCGGTCGACTGCCCCTCCTGCCGCGGTCGACCGGGACGACATTTTCCTGTTTCCTTGTTTTTTTCGATGCAGCTTTGGGTCTACACAGTTTAGACTAAGCAACAATATCCATTTCTTAATTGAAATTATATGATGCACATGTAATCCTTAAAAAAACTATAGAAGGTGTTGGTTTAGTGATGCTAAATCAACAAGTTTGGGCCCTATTTCATATATTTAGTAACATATCCTTTCATAGAACTTGATGGTGAACCTATTAAAATATTTTTCAAAACCACATGAATCACTACTGAGTCAGTACTGACAAAACAAAAACTAAAATCATTGATGAATACTCTAATCCTGAAAGATCTGATAGGGGGATGAATCACAAGACAAGGGGGAGAAGTTGGCATCAAATGATAATTATACTCTCTATCCTCATGACTTTCTGTATCTGACCTAGAACTAAAGCAAAAATATTTTAATCGGTTAAATTATATGGGTGAATTGTAGTTCAAGAGATGTTTTGGAATGATTCATGCAACTTATAGTTGAAAAAAAGCTATGCTTGCTGAATTTTGGCTCTCTCGCTGGCTATGTAATAGTTAGTTTTTTAAATTATTTTTTTCGCCCTTCTGTATTTTGTATCTTCAACCCTTCTAGCTAATCATTTCTATTAATAAAATGAGCTAAGGCCCTTATTCTCAAAAAAAAAAAAATCAGTTGAAAAGAATATTTCATTTATTTAGATCATATGTTGATAAAGACTATATTTGACAAACAGAAGAATAGGCTCCCAACATTCATATATACAACATTGATTAATAATATTTACAATCACGCTTCCCTCAAAGAAAATATTTAACTTCATTATACGATACTTACCACATCGCGAGATCCAGGAGATCTTTACTTTATAAAATAAGGGAATAAGAAAAGAAATCAAACATCATATTTTTTTTATCAGTAGAGTATCTTCGTCACCTGAGCAAAATACAATGAAGATAATAAAATAATACAACTAAGTTGCCAAAAAGATACTTCCAGCTACAAGGACCAGGAAATAAGCAAACATAACGGATAAAGAGATCATCATTTAATTTCAGTGAACCAACCAAAATACTTTGAGGTAGCAAACAACCCTTTGGGTGTAAAACTAGAAGGCTCAGTTTGGTTTGAAGGAAAATAGAAGAAAGGAAAAGAAAGTATAAAAGAAAGTAATTTTTCTTTGTTTGGATTGGAAGAAAACGAGAAAGAAAATGAATCTTAAAATTACCGTAGAAAAACACCCATATACCCGGTTTTTTCTCCTTTCCTCACTTGATCGGAGTGAAAATGAGAGAGAGGGAGAGAAAATCTCCTTCGATGCCTCCTTCGAAATTCCCGACTCCATCCTCTCTTTCTCTCTCGATCTCTCGATCTCAAATCTCTCTCTCGTCGTTCTCTCGGATCTCTCTCCCTCGACCTCTCTCGGATCTCCTTCATCCCCGCCACCGTCGACATCGTCCGCGATCTCACAGGCTCCGATGAAGGCCTCCGCCCTCTCTCCTCCCGCTCCGACCGCCTCCTTCCCCCTCTCTCCCGCCTCCTCCGAGATCCAGCGGAGCTCTCCGCTCCCGCGGCCGAAGCTCTGATCAATCTCTCCCAGGATCATGGGATTGCGGAGGAGCTTGTGTCCATTGGAACCGTGAGTACTGCAATGGATGTGATGTATAAGGTTGGGGATCTTAAAGTTGTGAGGTTGATGGTGATGTTGTTGGCCAATTTGACTCAATTGGATTCTGGAGCTAGGTCTCTTCTTCAGGTACATTTGATCTTGAAGTTTCGTGAATTTATTGATTTATGTTTGTTTGTAGAATATACTTGATCAAGTTTATGAGAAAAATCAATTTCTCACAAGTCCTTCTCAAATTTTCTCTCGTTTTGAGCAGTTTTATGGAGTGAAAAATGTATGTTTTCTAGCTTTGTATCGTCAATTATTTTCCTTCCTTGAGGAAAAATTGAAAATTGGAGGTTTTTGGTTGACTAATTTGTTGATTTCTATGACTTTTTTAAGGGTTTTGGGTGTGTATTGATGAAGCTAGTTCTGTAATATTGAGAAGAAGAGGGTTTTGGGATGAATAGTGCTTTCAGCGAGCAGATACTGGCGGATAAGCTCTCGAAGCTCAATAGCACTCAGCAATGTATTGAAAGTATCCTTTTCTTGATGAATTTTCTACTAGTTTTAATTTTTAGTATGGCTGTTTTCTTTATAAATATCAAATTTGAACTCTTGGTTGTGCTTATTTTCTACCCATTTCAAGAAATTCTATTTCAGTTAGAAATTTTAGAAGGAAATGTGCTTAGTGTGTCTGACTATTTTCCAAATAGTATGAAGATATGCAGTTGAGAGTTGTAAATAACTTAAATTGTTTAAATTGGAGGTGTAAAGGTCATTAAACCTTTTATTTAGCACAAGAGAAACCCGATTTAAAATGATTTTGGTCATTTATATAAGCTGGAAATTTTCCCAAATATCAATTTAGAACTGTGCGAGCCCTTAACTAGTAAAATAGTTGTTTCTAAGCTGGAAATTTTCCCAAATATCAATTTAGAACTGTGCGAGCCCTTAACTAGTAAAATAGTTGTTTCTTGGTGTCCGAAAAATTTGAACAACTGGTGGCATCACTAACTTCTGCGAGGGTCTCTCATGCATGCTCTTAAGTCCTGTAGTTAATCTATGCTTGGGTGGTCATATGTCTTCGTGTCTGGGGTAATGTCATTTGCTGGAGTTGCAATCTCCTTCCTTTTGTGTTCAATTTCCTTTTTTGTAACAATGACTGGAAAAAAAAATTCCTTTTGTTTTTAATCAATAATTGATTAGTTTGTTTTAATCCTAATAGATTAGATAAGTCAGATGAGATATTATCATTGTAAGCATTTCAGTATTGACACGTCTTTGTTTTCGTAAGTTTCCGTTTGAACTTGGTCGTGATTTTTCTATACGTGTTTATCTTGATTTCTGACATCTGATATGCCTTGTTGTGATGGGGTGTGGGGCCCACCCACGTGGGCCTGTCTGCCCACGCCCACGAGAACGCCGCCCTTGCTTGCTTGCGCGCGCACGCGATCTCGAGCCCGCGCGTGAAAGCGCCGCCCCGCCCCCTGCTTGCTTGCGCGCGCACGCGAGCACGAGCGCGGGAGTTATTCCCGCGCGAGCTCTTTTCCCGCCGCAAAACCCCGCCAAAAATCATCCGGATTTTCTCCTACAAATAGGAGAGGTTGTGAGTTGAGTTTGAGTGTGGGAAAAATCTCAAGTTGAGTATTTTTGAGAGAAAAGAAAGAGAGGAAGAGAGAACTTGTATAAGTTTGGTATTTTTCCTCCATAGTGAAACCCCCTCCCGTGGACGTAGGCTAGTTTGCCGAACCACGTAAAAATCTCGTGTTTGTATTTGTCTTATCTGTGAGTTGTCATAGCTTGTAGGTTCCCTCGAGATTTCAGTCCTTGAACTGATGAGAGGAAAAGTGTATATTTCACTCTGATGAAATATATCACTTTCGATTCTTGTTTCCTTTGAGAAATAAGAATTTCATTATCTATTCTCGTTTCCTTTGAGAAACAAGAATTTAGAGGTTGACTTGTGCTTTTGTGACAATGAAAGCCAGGGCTCTCTCTCAGGTGATATCGCTTCCGCGGCGACGGGCGTGACTCCGACCCAACAATTGGTATCAGAGCCCTTATTCACACTGGAGATGGTAAAATTTCTAATCTGAGGTGGTGGTTGAATATTGTGTGGTAAAACACAAGTAATTGTTAAAAATTCCTGAGAGAAGCGAATTGACATAATACAAGCGGAAAATGACTTCTACAAGTAAAACAAGTAAAGTTGGAAAATACGAGATTGAAAAATTTAATGGGAAAATGATTTTTCCTATTGGAGGATACAGATGAAAAATTCACTGATTTCGCAAAAGTTGCACAAGGCTTTGGCTGGAAGAGAGAAGCATAAAAATATGTCTGATGAGGATTGGGAGGAGCTGGATCTGGAAGCACGAGCGTCGATTATCCTATGCCTTGAAAGGGATGTAGCTTTCTTGGTGGACGGGGAGGAAACGGCTGCGGGCGTGTGGTTGAAGTTAGAAAGCACCTTCATGACGAAGAGTCTAACGAACCGGATCTATTTAAAATCCAAATTGTATACTTGCAAGATGGAGGAGGGCTCGTCAATCCGGGAATACATTAACAAGTTTGATAGGATCTTATCAGACTTGAAGGACATTGAGGTGACAGTGGAAGATGAGGATCAGGCGCTTCTACTACTTCTATCTCTGCCGAAGTCTTATGAGAATCTGGTTCAAACACTGATGCTTGTGAGTGACAGTTTGTCGATGGATGAGACTAGAACGGCGCTTCTAGCGGATGATCTTCGAAAAATTGCAACTAGTGATATGGCCACTGGTGGTAACAAAGAACAAGCGTAGGGACTGTTTGCCAGAGGAAGAGGCAATGAGCGAGGAAAAGGTAAGGGAGGAAAGTCTAGATCTAAATCGAGACCTCTTGCGGGACGAGCGTGTTTCAAATGCGGTGAAGTTGGGCATTTCAAGGTCGATTGTCCTAACAAGAGAGTAGGTGGGAAAAAGAACAACAACAAGACTGAAAGACGAGAAGGCAAGGAAGAGGCGAGCTACGCTTCAGAGGATGGGAGCGTCACGGATGGAGAGGATACCTCCGGGAAGTGGATTCTTGATTCTGGTTGCTCTTACCACATGTGTCCAAACAGGAAGTGGTTTACTACCTACAGGAGCACTTACCACATGTGTCCAAACAGGAAGTGGTTTACTACCTACAGGAGCATTGATGGTGGAACCGTATTGACGGGGAACAACCATGCTTGTAAAACGGTTGGGCTAGGTGATATCAAAATCAAGATGCATGATGGAGTGGTTCGAACTCTAACGGATGTACGACACGTTCCCGGCTTGCGGAAGAATCTCACCTCAGTCGGTGCTTTGGACTCCGGGGGTTGTAAGATTGTAACAGAGAACGGAGTGAAGAGGGTTGTTCGGGGTTCCTTAACAGTGATGAAGGGTGTTCGTCACGGTAATCTATATACTCTCTCAGGTACGACGGTGACGGGAGATGCAGCAGTTGGAGCTGAAGGAAGTGGTGAAGACCCATGTGAGCACACACGGTTATGGCATAGGCGGTTTGGGCACATGTCAGAGAAGGGTCTGGATCTGCTTGGTAAGGAGGGTTTGCTGAAGAATCTGAAGAAGCCTTGCATGGATTTTTGCGAGGACTGTGTGTATGAAAAGGCGCACAGGGTTCAATTTCTGAGGAGCAAGCACAAGAGCAGAGGGATACTAGATTATGTGCACACGGATGTTTAGGGTCCGGCTTCGACAACTTCCAAGGGTGGTTCCAGATATTTTGTCTCATTCATAGATGATCATTCAAGATATGCTTGGGTTTATTTCCTGAAGCATAAGAATGAGGTATTTGAGACATTCAAGAAGTGGAAAGCAATGGTTGAGAACAGGACGGGCAAGAAATTGAAGACACTGAGATCTGATAACGGTACAGAGTATACAGACGGTGCTTTCAAGGAGTTCTGTGATCAGGAAGGGATTGCTAGACACTGGACAGTCAGGTCTACACCACAGTAAAATGGGGTCACGGAGAGACTGAACCGAACACTGCGGGAGAAAGCAGTGAGTATGCGATCCTCGCCTGCAAACCCAGTTCGCCTGCTAGCTCGCCTGCAGACCCAAGTCCGCCTGCAGTCCCAAACTCACCTGCAGACCCAGTTCGCCTGCAAGCTCGCCTGCAGACCCAAGTCTGCCTGCAGTCCTAAGCTCGCCTGCAGACCCAAGCTGTAGACTCGCCAGCTCACTGTCAACTGCCCACTTGGAGTATGGGAACAGTTACATCAGTGGTCAAATCCCACAAATCAAGGGAGATGGCACAGTACTCCAAGACCGCCAGGCGGCCGCTCACAGTACTTACAGCGCGAAGGACTGGACAGGTGTCGAGTCAACCTGAACAGTCATAAATGCGACTCACATCGGCTATCTAAGTCGGAGACGAATCCGCCGGCGTTCGGCGAACTGTCCAAACCCACTCGAGTACCAGGAACACGCTTTCCCGCCTCTCCTGACCTGAAGAGAGAAGGCACGGCACTCCAGGGCTGCTGAACAAGCCGCCTACAGTACGAGTGAGCAGACAGGTGTCAAAACAGCCTACACCCTCATAAATGCGGCTCACCTCAGTTGTCCAAGCGAGGGGACGAGAGCCGCCGGATCTCGGTGGTTGGTCAGATCCACGCAAGCATCTGACAGCCTTTGTCACGCATACGAGGAGGGGCTTTCCCACTCTTACGAAACGTGATACAGAGCACAACTCTTTGAATGACCGCTGACGGTACGAAGGAACAGCGGGACGTCTCTGAACAATGTATGGTCACATCCCATAATTCAAGGAGTAGTCAAGCTGTCCTTCTTCCATTTAAAAGCCCAAAACTTGGAGAAAAGTAATTGAGACCAAGCTGTTAGCAGACCCTTGCATTACAGCACCACTGTCTAGTTCCGAGCTCCGATCGCCGGCGAACTAAGCAGACCCGAACTCCCTCGAGTTGAGCTTCTACTGCAACCTCGATCGAACGGTCCAAGTGAAGCAGACTCGACACGAGCATCGAGCGAAGCATCCTATAGCCACCTAAAGTCCCCACACAAAACAAAGAGGGCATTCCCTCTGCTTCTGTTGTAACCATTTGATTATTAGTTTGTAATAAGCTTTCTTATTAATACAAACGAACACTCCCTGTTTTCGGGAAATCAAATTTACACCATACAAGGATATATAAACTAATACAAGAGTAAACCAAATGAACTAGATAGTGGATGATATAAATAATGAGCTATGGACAATGGCGACAAGAAATATAAACATAAGATTAAGTGCGTCAAAGCAAACTCAAACACACGATATGATCATGGAGTTCGGACCTTCCGTCCTACATCTCTGCTCCCCACTCCCGGGGAGAAATCCACTATCACAACCGGGTTTTCTACGCTCACCCGAATAACGTTTACAACCACACTATGTCGGTTTTCAACGATCACCGATCAACGTATACACTCACTCACAATGTCTTCGAATTTGATCACAAGGGACTCAACAGTAGTCCCTGCAGCAACTTCGTCAGACTGCGCCACCACCAATTCATCTGAATGAACGGATTCTCCCACTGTGGTCGCCATCTTCTGTAGGGTGAAAATTTGATTCTTCCGAAGAAAGGAGTTTCGTTTGTATTTATAAGAAAGCTTATTACAAACTAACAAATCAAATGTTTACAACAGAAGCAGAGGGAAGGCCCTCTTTGTTTTGTGTGGGGACTTTAGGTGGCGATAGGATGCCTCGCTCGGTGCTCGTGCCGAGTCTGCTTCCCTTGGACGATCCGATCGAAGTTGCTGCCGGAGCTTCGGTTCTCAAATGAGGGAGCCTTTGGCAAAGGTCCAGGTTCAACCTTTGGGAGATTAGCCAGCAGAATATGCAACGGCCAATCCCCCTTTCATGCTGGCTGAAGATGGGTTTTAGTAGGCAAGGGATGACCTGGGCCATCCCTTGATTCATGGGATTTGACCATGTGAGGGAGACAGCTTGACTGCTCCTTGAATTATGGGATGTGACCACACGTCGTTCAGAGATATCCTGCTGTTCACCTGCAACAGGAGCGGTCATTCGAGGAGCCGTGTTTTACATCACGTCACTTAGGAATGGGAAAGCCCCTCCTCGTATGCGTGACAGCAGCTGTCAGATACTCGAGTGGATATGGCCAAC